TAAATAATCTTGGTTATCTTAGAAGTTTTGCTTTCATCATAAGATTGGGTTGTGTAAAGGCCTCTGTAGGTGATACCCAGACTGATGTTTTTTGGTTAATCTGTTGGATGATCTTTTTCCAAGTCCCTAGTAGAGCTCTTCTTATCATATGCAGGTTCAACTGTTTCTGCTCTTTATCTTTTTTTGTACCATAGAAAAGCATGCCAGCCAAACTGCAAATCATGTCCTTCCAAATTGAGTAATCTATCATTTTTCCAAGGTTATCTTCTTTTATCCAGTCTAACACAGATTGTCGAAAGCTTTTTCCGCATCCAAGAATATCATAGCCATCTGCTTTTCTGGGTGTGCTTCATAGTAGAGTATTTAAAATTATCCTTATATTATTTTTCATCTGCCTTTTTGGAAGAAAGCCCGACAGGTCTTGATGTATTGTCTGTATTAAAAAAAATTTCAGTCTTATTATTCTGTTTCTAATGAAATGACACATAAAAGTATTTTTCCATCAATGGTTATAGAAACATTGTTTTTAGAATGCGTAATGAAAAATAGAGGGAAAGGGGTGGGGGGAATTCACACTGCCGTAATGATAGCCAAAAAGATTGGTTTTCAATTGTATTGCAATGATGTCAGGCTTCTTGGTGTAACAGGCTGGTTTCATATTATGTTTTCAAAGAAATAAGGAAAAGGCCTTAGATTATATGACTCTCACTCTCACACTCACTCATTCTCTCATTTTCTCACACTCACTTTCACTCACACTCACTCTCATACTCACTCTCACACTCTCATTCTCTCTCACACTCACTCACACTCACACTCACACTCACTCACACGCACACACACACACAACCTCTCTCTCTCTGTCTTTCTCTGTTCCCCTCTGTCTATAGCCTTATATTGCTGACGGAGTGGCAGTGGTTGTAGAGACCTGAAGTGAATGGTCTTCGATGCCCAATCCTTTTAAAGGAGAGATGGAAACAAGGGGTGGGAACTGTGGTGTGTCCTACTGTGTGACACCTGTTGCAAGCTGCTTTTTGAGCATTATTAGGGATAGGAATGTGGGTGGTTGGGTGGGGGTGTAAGTAATTACTTTCAGCCACCATGTGTTTTGTTGGGTTTTTAAATGTTTTTTAATTTTTTATTTTTGGTCAGGCCTTCCGAGGGATCACCCAGAAAGCTACCATTCCTTCATGTGGAAAAACTTCTTCCAGCACATTGACATCTCTCCCGAAAACACACATATTCTCGATGGGAATGCAGCTGACCTGCAGGCAGAGTGTGATACTTTTGAGAAAAAAATCAAGGCTGCCGGAGGAATAGAGCTCTTTGTTGGAGGTGAAACCTGAAAGGCATCGACGCAGGGCCATGGGAGGGATGGGTCGATGGAGAGGTGTCCATCCTTCAGTCATTGACTTGCATAGGTGGAATAGTCATCAGAGGCCAAATGACTGCTGTACAAAGCTTTTGTGTCTCCAAAACACACCACTTACTGAGCAGGCAGTTCGTGTCCATAGCAGAACAATGGTTTATCAGGGTCAGATTCCAAAGGATGTACAAGCACATGTAGAGCACACAAATCTATGTGCACTACAATCATAACTTGGACTCTTCATTTGAAGATATTCCCAGCACTGCCACATAATGTAGAGGTCAGGAAGCTTCACTCCACCCCCAGAGGGGTTACAACCCTTGACTCTCCGTCCCTTATCTGTGGCTGAGTTAGGTGGGCTTGTGAAATTTTGCCCAGCAGCTGTAGTAGTTCAGACCCAGCATGAGTGGCAGATCTGTAGGGGAAACAAAAGCCTTGGGAAAATCTGGCTGCTTCTTTGTGTGGAGAGCCTCTCTGTTTGTAGAAAGGGGTGACAGAGAGGGAAGAGGCTAAGCACTTTTTGGAAAGAACAAGAAGGTGAACAATGAATTGAGTCGCACAGGAGAGCAGGGAGTGAGTGAGTGATTGAGGTCTATAAGCTCCTAAGTAAATGTGGTTCAAAGAAAATTCAGTAGCCAAAATCTTGTTGTTAAAAGTAAGAAATCACACTAGAGTAGGCCCATTTAATCAAGGGGGATATACTGAGTCAGCTCCTCTGTATGTTTCCATTAACTGACATGGGCCTCGTCTAACTGTGACTTATACTAAAGTAAGGAGATGCCATTGCTCTAATTTCCCATGCAATCAAAGTGATGCTCAAGATGTTGCAAGAAGTCGCAACAAAGGATTTTTCCTTATATGGAGCAACAAATGTTCAATCTGGATTTCAAAAAGGAAGAGGCACTCAAGATCATATTGCATATTTCTGCTGGCTTATGAGAGCACCAAAGAATTTCAGAAGATCAGCCTAGGCTTTATAAACTACAGCAAAGCAAAGAATTTCAGAAGATCAGCCTGTGCTTTATAAACTCTAGCAAAGCAAATGACTTTCTGGAACATGAGAAACTATGGGTTGTTCTGAAAGAAATGGAAATACCTTAGCACTTGATTGCCCTGATGCATAACCTAGAGTGTCAACAAGAAGCTACTGTTAGGATAGAATAGTTTCCTACAAGCAAAGGTGTCAAACAGGGGTGCATTTCATCCCCATATCTGTTCAATCTGCCCACAGGACAGTTTGTACGGAAAGTGAAGGAGGAGCAAAAATATGTAGAAGAAACATCTATAATTTAAGATATGCAGGTGGCACCATCTTATTGGTAGAAAGTGACAATGACTGGAAATTACTTCTGAAGAAAGTGAAAGAAGAAAGCACCAAAGCAGGATTGCAGTTGAACATTAAGAAGACAAAAATCATGACTACAGAAGATCTATACAACTTTAATGTTGACAATGGAGAAATTGAAATAGTGAAAGATTATGTATATCTTGGTTCAGTCATCAATCCAAATGGAGACTGCATCATAGAATCGTTGTAGGGTTGGAAGGGACCTTGGAGGTCTTCTAGTCCAATCCCATGCCCAAGGCAAGAGGCCTCATACCATCCTGGACCTCGTACCATCCTGGACAGATGGCTGTCCAATCTTTTCTTGAAAACCTCCAGTGATGGGGCACCTGGAACATTGGGAAGCAAGCGATTCCACTGCTTAATGGTTCTCAACATCAGGAAATTCCTCCTGATTTCCAGGTTGGATCTCCCTCTGCCAAGTTTCTACCCATTGGTTCTTGTCCTACCCTCAGGCGCAGTGGAGAATAAATCAATGCCCTCTTCCCTGTGACAACCCTTCAGAGATTGGAAGACTGCTATCATGTCTCCCCACAGTCTTGTCTTCGTTAGGCTAAACATACTTACTTCTTTTAGTCATTCTTCATAGGATTTAGCCTCCAATCCTCTTATCATTTTTGTTGCTCTTCTCTGCACCCCTTCCAGGGCCTCAGCATCTTTTTTGTATTGTGCTGATCAGAACTGGACACAGCACTCCAAGTGCAGCCTCACCAGTGCAGTATAGAGTGGTATTATCACTTTCCGTTATCTCGATGGTATCCCCCTGTTGATGTAGCCTAGGACTGTGTTGGCTTTCTTGGCAGCTGCAGCACCCTGCTGACTCTTCCTTAGGCGGTGGTCCAATCAGAAGACGATTGAAACTTGGAAAGGCATCAGTAAAAGCATTAGAAAATATAATCAGGTGTAAGGATGTGTCCCTGGATACTAAGGCCAAGATAATCCACACCATTGTATTTCTGATCAGTACATAGAGATGTGAAAGCTGGACAATAAAGAAAGCTGACAGGAAACAATTGATTTGTTTTAAATATGGTGCTGGTGGAGAGCTTTGCAGATACCCTGGACTGCAAGAGAGAGAGAAAAATGGATCTTAGAGCAAATCAGGCCTGGATTATCTCTAAAGGCAAAAATGTTGAATCTGAGATGTTCCGACATTGGGCACATCATGAAAACTCAAGATTCTCTGGAAAAAATGAGTGCTGGCAAAGCTGAAGGCACCAGATAAAGAGGAAAACCAAATACATGATAGATTGAGTTTACAAGAGCCGAGCATGGCTGTTGAGGACAGGATATGTGGGAGATCACAGACCCATAGGGCTGCCATACATCGGAGGCAACTTGACGGCACATAACAATACCAAATCAAAGTTAGAGTAGGCCTATTTGAATCAGTGAACTTATGGGGGAGTTGACTGAACAATCCCCATACCCTAATATAGTTTGCTAAGCCATAGGATTTTGGCCAATGGACATCTTGGCTTAAAGTGAACTCCACGTTGAGCAGATATATCTCAAGAGCATTGGGATTGAGGAACTATCCCATTAGCTATGAAAAAGTAGATGAAGTAATCATGACTGAAAATAGAATCCAAGAAACCATGAGCCAAAGGGAATAATTTTCCTTGAATAGCATCTGGCATACACCATGGCGAAAAGTTATTTTGTGATATGGCAGGAGAGGAGGTTGCCCAAAGGAGTATGGGAAAGGTGTGAAATTTTCCATTGAAGTGGATGATCCCTTATGTCAATTAAAGCAGCTCTTTGGATTTCGGGCCACGTTGTAAATGGGTCAGAGATTTCCGAAAATATACTGTAACAATGGTTCGGATTATTGCATGACTTACCGACATTGCCCTTGCTTGCTACATTATAAAATTTAAAACTGTCTCCACTACAGGTATTGGTCCAGATGGTCACATTGCTTTCAATGAGCCAGGGTCAAGCCTTGCATCCAGAACACGAGTGAAGACCTTGGCTATGGACACGATATTGGCTAATGCCAGATTCTTTGATGATGACCTCTCTAAAGTGCCCACGATGGCTCTGACAGTTGGAGTTGGTACAGTCATGGATGCCCGAGAGGTTGGAAGCAGAATATTGGCAGACTGAAACTGGGGGTGGGGGGCTTTTGAGCCAGGAATACATTTGGGCTAATGAATTTTAGGCTACTATGTGTGTTTTTTTTACTGAGTTATGTAAGTTCTAGTAATATTTGTCTCAAATCCTTTCTCATCTAAATTTGGTTTTTAGTACTGCAGGGAACAAGGAAATGAAGGAACAATGTATATCCATAAAGCCATGGTACCGTAGCTTATGTGTGTGTGTGTGTGTGTGGTTTTTTTACTGAGTTATTTAAGTTCTAGTAATACTCGTCTCAAATCCTTTCTCATCCAACTTTGGTTTTTAGTACTGCAGGGAAGAAGGAAGTGAAGGAACAATGTATATCCATAAAACCATGGTGGCCCATTGTGCACATTGTATATTTGTCTTCAAAACAGAGAAGATAACTGTATATAGTGTGCAAAATTGACCCCAAGCTTAGTAGGGAACATAGGCTCTGTGTTTCACTGGAATGCATGGCTCTGTCTGCTTTACATAGCTTTCTGTTGAACACTGAATCAAAATTAAATCCACAGAAAGCAATAACAACAGAAAGGGCAATCAACATGAATTGTATACCATATTGCATAATAATAAGTGAATCTTTGTTTTCATTGATTATAGCCCATGAAAGTTCCTACTAAATAAATGTGGTAGTCTTCAAGATGTTTACAAAATTCTCTATTGATTTTTGCTGTTAAAAAAAACTTAGCACAGTTGCCCTTTTTAGTTAAATCCAATTAAAGGAAACTTCTGGATCAGGAGTTAGACTCTTATCTATCTAGCCCAAATTAAAACAAGATTAAGTAGATGGTTTGTGAAGTCCTTCTTTATATAGGAACCTGTTTCCTAGCACCAGCTAATAGACATCTAATAGCAAAAAGCAACCCCCCTTTGAGTCCATTAAGTTACAGCCCACAGATATTTATTAGCCTATACGTCTCTCTCTACATCAGTCGAAGCTCTTTTGTTTGAAGAAAATATGTCATCTAGTATGTTGAAGTCCTTCTGGAGATCATTTTGCACTAGCCAAAGAATGGTAGCTTGGTAGAAATCTGTTGTAAATCAATGAGCCCTCCCCTCTTCCCAATTTCAGTGAAAAGAAAGGCTTCCAAGTGCTCACTTTAAAAAAGGCAGAGAATCTATGTAACTTTAATGAATGTTTTGATCCTTCCATCTTCTGTTCTCTTGATTTCTCAGATATTTCAGTAGCATCCTTGCATGTTATTCCATTTACAAAATATTTGTTTCTGGCTGTATATCTGTGGATGTCATCTTACCAAACTTGCAATCCATATGTGCAGTGGTACCTCGACTTGCGAATGTCTCTACTTGCGAACGTTTTGAGTTACGAACGGCTCTGTTCGCAAAATGTTGCTTCGACTTGCGGACGGAATCTCGACTTACGAATGAAAAAACCTTTCCTGCCCCCCTTTTTTTGACCTAAGTTCATCTTAGGTCAAAAGAAGAAGAAAAATTATCCCCCTAGTGGTAGAGTACGGATTAATCGGCTTTGCATTAATTCCTATGGGAACTAATGCCTCTACTTACGAACAGAGCCTCGACATACGAACAAAAACAGCCGGAATGGATTAAATGGTTTCAATGCATTCCTATGGGAAATCTTGCCTTGACTTACGAACTTTTTGGCGTACGGACGTCGTTCCAATATGGATTAAGTTCGTAAGTCGAGGTACCACTGTATCTGAGAGTAGCAAGGAGACAGACTTTCTGAAGCCCACAATCAAATCAAAACCCTAATCACGTTACCTGTGTATCTTTCATTGCAGGTTATGATTCTGATTACAGGAGCCCATAAAGCCCTCGCTTTGCACAAAGCTATTGAGGAAGGTGTAAACCACATGTGGACAGTTTCAGCTTTTCAGCAGCATCCCCGTACTCTCTTTGTATGTGATGATGATGCCACTCTGGAGCTTAAAATGAAAACTGTGAAGTACTTTCAAGGTAGGTAGGTCAGAAGGGGCCACAGGAAAGTTGTGTTGTCTATGGCGTTAAAATATAGAAGTGTGAGAACTATATAAAAATCTTTCCCAGGTCACATTTAAAAAGGATGGGTGGCTGTTGCTTATCTCTAGTGAACTTAGGATGGGAGTGGAAACTTAAAACACCAGGAATATCTCCTGAAAACTACAACTTGGCAGACTCCTTTGAGGCAGCGTTCCACTGTTATTAGCATGAACGTTATTCATTCATCTTTTCTCCATTTGTTCTCCAGTATCCCTACTGCTTAACAAAACTGAGGGAAGAACTGACATACTACTGTATTTTGTTTCCTTTGCAAGATATTTGACCCTGCAACTCGTTCCGATCAGAGTTTGTACGTAGATAAAAGAAATTAGAGTAACAGCACAAAAATAATTACGACAAACAAATAAAACCCACAAAAGGGGAACAAACATCATCCCTAACAAGCATTTTGGTATTTTCAGCTGCAAGATGGGGAGAGGGCGTCCTGCGGAATCATAGCAGACAAGTCTCTGTCTTGTGTTTTACAGTGGCTGGCCAGGTGCTTATGGGGAGGTTACGAGTCGCCCAGGAGGGCGGATTCCCTCTAACACCTTTTGTCTCAAGCACATGAGAGCTCAAAGAAAAGTCCTCAGCAGGTGGCAATTCCATTCAGTAATCTGGCTGAAAATGAACTTTTGACAGTTTATCTTCCACAAAGGAAGACCATTCAAGCTGGAGACAAAGGTGTGGGACAGCAAACTGCATCCATTTAGACATCACAGGAAATATTTTCCTTTTGCCTCTTCTGATCCCACTGCATCCCACTCAGAGGGAAACCTCTGAGATGTATCAAAAGAGGACAACAGTTTCTACTCAGGTGTCAGACTATAGCTCTTGTAATTCCTAACCACTATGAATGCTGGCTGCTGCATCAGAGAAGTGGAAAAAACTTGGTGCCATTCACATTTCGTAAATTATGTGTTTTTTTCATAGTATCTTTCTAAACTAAAATTCCCAGTGAATCCAGCCATTCTTACTGGAGGACTAATATTTCTTGAAATATTTTCAATTTTTTTTACCTTTATGAGGTAAAGTGGGACTAAAACTCTAAATGTTACCCTGTTTCCCTGAAAATAAGACCTAACCTGAAAATAAGCCCTAGTATGTTTTTTCAGGATGCTCGTAATATAAGCCCTAACCCAAAAATAAGCCCCAGTTAAGTGAAACCCCACCCTTCACCATTGTGCAGCTACCAGAAGAAGATGACAGGACTGTATCTGCATAAATGTAGATTGTTGTACATGAAAACAAATAAAACATCCCCTGAAAATAAGCCCTGATGCATTTTTGGAGCAAAAATTAATATAAGACCTTGTCTTACTTTCAGGGAAACACGGTATTTCATACTGCAGCTGTACCACATACTTACATAAGTGGATGTGAGAAATATGCCACAACATGGTCATGAAAGTGAGGGTCTTGGTTATTTCAATTTGGATATTTTTCCTTTAAAAAGAAATGCAGTAATTCATCAGGAATTACTTTTGGTAACCCTGGTGAATGCTGAAAATTCTAGTCTAATCTGAAATACTATAGGTGCTACTGGCTATCCACATGCTTCAGATCCTACTTAACCCCATAATCTTGTAAGTAAATCCAACAATGAAGATTTACAGTGCTCATTCATTACATAAATCACACACACAAGCCCTTCAATGTGTTCTTCCAAACTTTTTCTTCACTGGCTGCTATTTGCAGTGGGAAATGATCACAGGTGCTGGTATAGCATAGCATGCATTTTGGATGGCTAGAGCAAAAATGCAGGGCATGGAGACAGCAGGAGCTGCCATGGAACATGTTGCATCCTGACACACTAAAACAGTCCCTTGCCAGTGGTAAGGACTGTGGAGGTATAGCTGAAACCATCTGATGTTTCTCGCACTTGCACTAAATGATTCATAAACTGTATGAATGTCCTCTGAAACAGTAAATGCAGTCTGCCACTTACTCAACCTTACCTAACCATCTCTAAAATGGCAGGGAAGCAAAGAAGAGTGGATATAAATTGACACTTTATGCAGTGATGTTGGCATTAGAACTAAGTCCCTGTTGTTTCATTTCACTTTACCAGGTCTGATGCTTGTTCATAACAAGCTTGTGGATCCACTATACAGTATGAAAGAAACAGGAGCAGAAACAAACCACACTGAGAAACCATACAGTGACTAACCTCTTAGCACTCTGCACAACTGAGTCCACAGAGCCTTCTGTTAATACCTAGGAGGAGAAGGTGTTAAAGTCTTTACATCTGGAGGAAAACACATTCTTGGACTGTATTTGTTAGAAAATATCCCTTCCACCTTTCCTGCCTCCACTGCTCCACAACAGCAGAACTAACTCATGTCAGTTTTGCACTGCTTTAAAAATTAAGACCAAATGGAATGGAAGGCATTTGTTCTCATAAAAGGCTGTGACATGTATTGAAGGGTAACTAGGAAAGAGATCTTAACATGCAACATGAATGTCAATTGCAAAAATTATATATACTCAAAAAATGGGATCTGCAAAATGTGAAGCTTTTTCTGCCTTTTTTTCTACATTAAAAATGTGTACTATTTCTGAAAAAGAACTGTGAACTGAAATATTAATTCCAGAAAAACTGGAAGGATCAAGCTAACCATCATGAGAGTCACCTTCCAAGAAACTTAGGAAAATGCAAAATCTTAATACATTGGAATTTAACCAAAATGCCTTAGCCCTGACTACCTAAGGCCAAACTCTCTCTTCTGGTAGCCACTCTTGCTTAGCCCTATCATTTAAATCAGGATTAGAAAGCTCCTTTCCCAACATTTCCTTAGGACTCACTTGCTAGGGTGCACATGCTGGCAGGGGTCAGAACTGGTGCCCGCCCCCACCCCAATCTTCCTGTCCCTGCCACGCAGGAAGAGACGGCTCTGGACAGAGAGCTGTAGAAATGGGGCTGAGAGGTGTAGGTTTCCCTCTCTAGCCCATGTGATCTCAGTGCAAAAGAAACTTTGCTCTACATAATTGTCCTTTGTGTTGCCAGAAGCAGGACCTTCAGCTGTGCTAGCACTTCTTGATAGCCGAATAGGCTTCTCTTGAGCTCTTCACAAAGTGCCTAAACATTCTTTGCAGGAGGCAGATGAAACTACACTTTTGATATTCAGCTTAGCACACTGCAGTACCTTTTAGAGTGTGGTGGCATGTTAGGAGCATTTCATAATTTCCCTTCAACAGATTTGTGGTAATAGAGAGCATCACAATTTTATTCCATTCTTGTGGCAAGTTACCAACGTGCCAAGTAATTCCCTGCATTCGGGCCTTGTTGCCTGTGTGCTGCAGAAAACTGACTTAAAGGGTAGCCAGAGATGATGGCAGGTGTTTATGGCATGTCCGGAAGAGGTGCTTCAGAAATGGATACAAAGGGAAGCTACATATTAAATTCAGCCTCAGCACTGGAAAAGCTACTTCAGGTCACCATCCTCATTTATATCAGAAGTAATTATGTGGTGTTCCACATAAGGTGAATTCAGACAGATCATGCTCTTACCAAATTATGTTCATAAAACTTGGGAGGATCGCTCTCTTCTGGCTTGAACAAATGCTAAGAAAAAAGTAGCTGCTGTGCCACAGGAACAGTAATGAATTTTAAGTTTTGTAGCAATGTTTTCATTGCCACTGGCACCACACACAACGAAAAAGCACAGAGCAGGTACATTTTCCCATTTTCCACTTGTTCCTGGATCAATTTTAGTGGCAACAGGGCAACTTACAAGATAGCACGATGAAATTTTTATTATTTCACACCGTTATTCAGTGTTCCACTTGATCTTTTTAGAAAGATCTTAGATCATCCCATGCAGCTAAAGGCTTTTTGTAACAGGATACAAAAGCAATTCTCTAAGCGTCTTCAATAACTTCTTTGCTTTATAATCTGCCAGTGTTCAAAACAACCTTGAAGAAAGTATGCATAGTTCAACATCATTTTTCTTCATCTTCAGTAATGAGTAGGAACTAGTAGAATTCTTCATCCACAATGTCATCTTCATTTTCCAAAGCATAAAATAACCTGAAACACACAGGAAAATGATTGTGGGTTATGAACCAGAAAGCCATTCTGTTAGCAAAAAGATATGTTATATTCCTCCTGTAGGGCTTTTTAATATATGTGCTATAGATTGGCAACAAATTTGCAACACTCTCCAAGAGTGACTAAGACATGTTAATGCAACTAGCTCACTACTAGTTCACTCACAAATTTAAATTTAACAGTTTAGTTCCATTCTCAAAAGAATAGCTCTGCTATGTGGTGGTTTCCATTATTTCCAAAGGCCAAATAGAGAATCTGCTTAAACATTCTTGAACATTTCAGCTCGCCAGCCCCAGCAAACACAGCCCAATTGGCAAGTAACATTTTCTTTCAGTAGCATACACATACCGGTTAAAGCATGGAGAGCCTGGATCCTGAAAATGAGTATAAGGGTTTGTCCTGGACAGACTTCTCATACAGATCCAACAGAAATACTGCCTGCACGCAGTGCATGTCATCTTGTTACATCCATCTAGCTTCTGAAATGGGAAGAGAAGAAAAGAGAAACCTTAAAAGACAACGTGTATTGGGTTTTTTTATACCTTTTATACCTTTTTATACCTTTCATGCAGGTCTTGTTTTTTATATTAATTTGAAATGTCTTTTGATACAATTTAATGTTGTCTTATAACCGTTGTCTATTACTGTATTCTGTTGTGAACCACCCAGAGTGGCCCTCGGCCAGATGGGGCGGTATACAAATTAAATAAATAAATAAGAATCTACGATGACTTGTGCAAGAAAAGCAGCTACGGTCAGCATCAGCCATTTGGACAGAAAATGCATTGTAGAGCATAGGATGATTGCTAATTGACTGATTTTCTAAGAGAAGCATTGTTTCTTCCTCTAACACTCATCCACATACAATCAAACATGGACAACGGCCTCAGGCTCAGATTTTTTTTACTTTAAAAATATAAAATGCCACGACCATGCTCAGCCACTCCCAATGCATGATTTCTTAGGATCTAAAGAGAGCTCTCCAGTGCTAGTTCCATTTTATTTATTTTGTATGGCATAACAGATACAGCATTATTATGTAAAATATCACCAAGACAATATAAAATATGTATGCAATGTCAAATCTTTAAAAAAATTCTACAAGATTTTAAAAACTCACAATATGAATGGTAAATAATTAGTGAAATAAATAAAGCCAGGGAACCTTCTAAGGGAGCATTCCATCCCAATATGATGAAAAGTTTGCAGGACATACCCACAGTCACAATTTAGAATAATTGGCCAGCCCCCATTTATATTTCCAATATTGGCACCTGCCATGGTTAGTTCGAATCTAAAGTGCTTGTCCATTTTTTCCTTGGGAGATCAAAGCCATAACAGCATTGCACTGGATCGGGCACTAAGTTAAACAGATTTGGATTAGAAATTGCCCACTCCTCATGCCAAGTTGTCTCAATGGCAAAGTCTTCTCTGTCCAGTTGCTGTCTACATTTCTACAGTGGGTTCCAAGATTTGAGTCTAAATATTTGATCATGGCAGTCCTCAGGTATAGTCAGTGTGCCTCACATTTTTACCACTCCCTTTGTTAAAGATGATTGTCTTCAAAGGTGTGGAGGTGATATCTTACACAGCACTGGTAGCTACTCGGAGGCGTTGCTTTAATAGTTCTCAGTGGTGTAGTTTAGCTGGGTGTCCACTGCTTTTGTATGCGCACTGTTTAGCCATACAGGGGTGAAATACTCAACTACTGAATAAACCAATACAAGAGCTGATGTCCTAAGAACTAGCATTTACTCCCTAGCAAGTGTCAGGAAGTTTGTATAGAACATTGTCCCTGGTTTTCATTTTATCAGAGTTTTTTTCTTAAATGTTCTCTATAAGTTAAGGGTTATTCCTAAATATTTTGGGTTACAGTTGGCCCATCTCAGTTCCCCCATCTCAGTGTTGGAATGACAGAGTCAATTGACAACAGAAAGGGAAATGTTCCACTTTCTGTGCCCTTCAGACTACCAATAGCAGCAGCAGCAAAAGCCCAGACTTGAACAGTAATCATTGTCTAGAAGTCTGACTGAAATTGTTACCCATAAACAGGACAGTGCATGGGCATTTAAAGAGGAATCAGTATGTTACGTTAGGTAAAGATTCCCCTTGACATTAGTCCAGTCGTGTCCGACTCTAGGGTGTGGTGCTCATCCCCATTTCCAAGCCGTAGAGCCAGCGTTTGTCCATAGACAGTTTCCGTGGTCATGTGGCCAGCGCGACTAGACATGGAACACCGTTACCTTCCTACTGTGGGGGTACCTGTTTATCTAGTCACATTTTTACATGCTTTCGAACTGCTAGGTTGGCAGGAGCTGGGACAAGCGACAGGAACTTACTCTGCCGTGTGGATTTGATCTTACGACTGCCGGTCTTCCAACCTTGCAGCATAGAGGCTTCTGCGGTTTAACCTGCAGCGCCACTGTGTCCCTATGTTCTTATGTTACTTGCCCACGAATAGCTGAATCTTTATCAGAAGAAAAAGCTTTGATTCTCACAAGTCTTCATCCTCTGCCCCAATTCTTACCTCTATAGGAGTTGCACAGGAAGGACATAATTTGGAATTTTTTTCCAACCAATCTTGACTTTCCATCTCCTCCAGAGCTTTTTCAATCACTCTTTTCCCATAGCGTTTCTCTAAAAACTGCTTTGAGAGCTCATCTGCTTCAAGGTACTCTTCTCGCAGATCTAGTAACTTGTCTAAGCAAACAAACATAACAAAGGTATGTTTCTGATAAGCACTGAAGAATCAAGCAATACAGGCATACCTAGCTTGACTCCTTAAACAAAACCAATATTCCTAGTTAGCCTTGCATACTGATCCCATACAGATCCACCAACATTGTTACGAAGCAGAGATTAACTGAGAGAATATAATCTTAGAACTGCAGAGCTGGAAGGAACCCTATGATGTGTGCTGGTCTCATGCAGATTATCCAACATCTGTTGTTTACTCAACCTCAGAACCTCTTGGGTTGAAGAAGTAACGGGTGTACGATGGAAAAAAAGGGTGAATAGCAAATACGATGGAACAAGGTCACTCAATAAGCCAAACCCCAAAACTCCAGATATCAATCCCAGTGGTTTCATGTAAATGCTAAAAAGAATGGGGGACAAAACAGATCCCTGAGAGACACCACAGACCAATGGCCAGGTCATTGAGCAACACCACCTTCTGAGTTCTTCCTTCCAGGAAGGACCGGAGCCACTCTAAAACAGTGCCTCCAAGACCCAGCTCAGATAAATGGTCCAGAAGCATACCATGGGCAATGGTATCAAAAACCACTGAGAGGTCCAGTAGAACCAGCAGGGACACAACCCCCTGCCTAGTTCCCAACATAGGTCACCCACCAAGGTGACCAAAGCTGTGGGGAAATTGTATGCCTTTAAAATGTATATATCTATGGCAGTAGCAAATGTATATTATAAATGTATATAAATGTATATATCTGTATGCTAGTAGCAGACATCATGCTAAAACTGCAAGGTTAACGTCCAGTAAGGATGATCATTAACCTGCTGTCTATTGTCTCTGGCTAATGTAGTTAAAATGTCTACCTCAGGAATGTTTACATTGGCTGTGTATTTGAAGTTAGCTGTGTCTGTTTACTATTAACTGTCTGTTTACCAGCCTGTCTGTTTACCAACTACTCTGTTTACTGATGCCTGTGTATTCAAGGAAATTAGTTACCTCTGTATTGATTAACTAGTGCAAAGGTAGTAGAGTACAATAAAAAAGGGGGCGCGGCAAAGGAGAAAGAAGATTCCTCTGGACAGATGCCTGAGGGTAAGCTGTCCTTGTTCATCCGGATCCCGCCCTGAAACATATCCCTGAGCGCTCGTCTCCTTTCTTCTTGCTGGTGAAGAGCGAAGGGAGATTTCATCTGCAGATCCCGAGACTGGCTTCATCTGCAAGACCCCTACTTCCCCTCATCTTGCAGATCCCGACACAAAGCTGTCTCCATCCCATAACTAGGTCTGAAACTGGATTGAAATGGGTCTAGATAATCCACTTCCTCTGGGAATTGTTTGAACAGATGGAAGGAGAACTATCAAAAAGAGAAATACAGCAGATATACTGTTAATCCGCCCAAGACTCCAGTTCTTTCTTCTGCCATCAACTCACCTGCAGTGACTTTACATGGAGAGAGACCATGGTAGGTCTTGTTACACAATGTACAAAAGGCGTAATTGCATCTCGGACAGATGCCCATTGTGCTAGATGGCTCTTGCATCACTGGGCTTTGGCACCATGAGCGTGGGCAATAGACCACATCTGTCATCAAATCCAAGCTTGACTGAAGCAGCAGACGATCATAACGGGCAAATAATTGTTCTTCGACCAGCTCTTTCACCTAGAATGAATTCATAAGGAAATGTGTTGGTGAATTTTGGGCTATGAGAAAAGAAGAAAGCCCACAATAGGAAGAAAGAAAACATATATAAACAAGTAACCATTGCATAGCATAAAAACAATTTACTCAGACATTTTCTAGTAAAACTTATTGCTCTATCAAAGGAAATCCTTTGTTCTTTACTGATATTCTATACTGGAATTTGCCTTTCTTCATCATCGCAGAGCATCATTGCGGCTCAATAATGAACTGCTGGAGAGCTCAGTGGGTTAGATATGTATCTGGCTGTGAGGCCAGAGGTTGGGAGTTTGAGTCCCCACTGTGCCACCCTGACAAGGGTTGGACTCAATGCTGCACAGGGTCCCTTCCAGCTCTACAGTTCCAAGATTATTATTAATGCTGTGTATTTTTTGAAGCAAACCTAGCCAGGACTGGCAAACTAAATCTAAGGCACGATAAGCTCCGGGCAGCACTTCAGTGAATTCTTCCAGTAAAGCCAACTACCCAACCTGACAACGTTCTGGGGTGCATCTCAGGGGCACAATCAGATGCATGACCAGACGTGTGACTGAGTACTATCTCAGCACCTTATGTAGTTTAAAAAGCAAAGCTACACAAGGATCAGGGCTGACTAACTAACTTCTTAGGCGTTATAAGCTCCAAGCTGCACACTTCTGTGAACTCTTCCACTACAACCATCTACCCAACCATTCACTCCACAAAACTAGAACCGTACACTTACGCGATTAAGTCTGGAACCTTATTATTGCTATGGCTAATTGAAGCTAGCTGACAACATTCTGGGGTGCATCTCAGTTGCACCATCAGCTGCATGACCAGATGTGCAACTGAGACACCTTAGTACCTTGTTGCTACATCACAATTAGCCATGCCAAACCGTCCACAAATACCAATGCGATCCTGGCCTATGTTTCTTTAGTGCAGAATTACAGAATCTACATATTCCTACTTAACGAAAAAAGAAAAGTTAACACAACTGCCACTCTTCTGGCTTTGGGACCCATAATGGTAGAAGTGGTGGCCAGTTTTGAATCCTGGGCTTTCTGGGGGATATCTGCCCACTTTTAGCTCCAAAGGTAGCGCTAGATTTAAACCGTCTGTTTTAATAGATTGTGCACAAACTAGGTTTCTGTTACCTGCCCAGGTGTAGCGACCGAAGAACATTTGGGTTCCGGACACTTCAGGCAATGGACCTGCCCCTCTTTGATTTGAAGTTCAAAGTAGTCCTTTAAGCAAGCCCGGCAGTGCACGTGCCTGCAGTCCAAAAAGTACATGCATTCACTTCCCAGCTTTTCAGAAAAACAGATATTACAGGTGTACATTTTACTGTTGAAGCACTTTTCCTTTTGAGCCAGGTCAAAGTCTAGAATCTCCCGAATCAGGCTAGACAGGGAATCAACGTCTTGCACGGCTCTCGCGTCAAGGCCCTCTTCCTGTGTTGCTGCTGCTGCTGCACCACCTGCTGCACCACAGGAAGCTTCCTCTTCGTTTGTCCTGCTCCATTCTTCCCTTTGTTCACAGATCTTTGCTTCGTACGGTGAGCCAATATTCAGATATGCCAAGGTTTCTTCCTTGAGGAACTGCATCCAAGCAAATAAGACTACCGAGCCTCTGTTTTCTTCCCATATGTTGTCCAAGCGCTTGCAAAGAGCAGTGAGCTGGAAAAGAAGGGAGAAAGACCATTAGCAGAGATTCCTGGAGCATTCAAACTCCCAAGCATGAAGAACATGTCAGCTTTGAAGGCACAATTAAATCAAGCCTCGCCTAGCATGCTTTTCTCCAAATGGAATTACTTTTCAGATAATAAGAAGTATTGTTACTACTATTATTTACCTAGACCCACATTCCAAGCCACAAAGCAACAGTCCTGGATATTGAGAACTGTGCCTGACTTACATATAACAGAAGTTAAAAAGCAGCTTTGGTGATTTGGTGTTCCACACCAGTGACATGCCAGGCAGGGAAGAGCAAATGCCTACACTGACTTTTCAATGGGAAGCAAATTCACAGCTAAAATTCACACTCCTGGATTTATAGCAGGATAATTTTTCAGTTGGTTCTGCACCAGATACTACATGCATGATATCTGCACCAGATATTACATATTAATGCACATTTAAAGATCCTGCAAACAAAACAATATTCATGGAGAGATTAAAAAAACACACACACACACAATGTTCACTAATGCAGTGGTTCTTAACCTTGGGCAACCCAGGTGTTCTTGGATTGCAATTCCCAGAAACCTTCACCATTAGCTATGCTGGTTGGGGCTTCTGGGACTTGCAGTCCAAGAATACCTGGGTTATCCAAGGTTAAGAACCACTGCACTAATGCATCATGCTGACCACAATGGGAGGCTGAGGATTTAGAACAGATTTTAAACAAATTCGTCGTCTAGTCGTGTCCGACTCTTCGTGACCCCATGGACCAGAGCGCGCCAGGCCCTCCTATCTTCGGAGTTCTCGGTCCACATTAAACAAATTAAAAGTGTTTAAATCTATGTAATGTGACTTTCAATACAAAACAGTTTGACAAAGCTGTGGTGCACATAAGATTTAATATCTTCATCTTCTATAGCTATATCTGAATTTTAATTATTTAGCTCCTTGAGTAATCTTCCTACAATCTACCACAGTACTGAGCATTGAAACAATATTTTGCGTTTCTGGTAAAGTACATGAAATGCTAAAAATCAGTGCCCAACCTGCGCCCGGGAGAGCCACTTGCTACTGAGAGTGAACACGGGTGGGGAGGTTGAAGGGTAGTCTTCTGGGAATTCAAAATTCAGCACTACTGGAGGCAAAAAGCAAACCATACATTCAAAGTTGCTGTTCTGAAGACCGTCCGTCTGATTGCCTGCAACAAAATACATCTGATAATATAAGAGAAATGGAGTTCTAAAACTGTGCTGTCTAACAGAACAGATATGCACCCTCCCCTCTGAAGCATTTTCAGCCATAAGGAATCACACAGTCACTAGTCTGATTCAGACCTATTTAAACTTACTTTGNTTATTTATTTATTTATTTATTTATTGGACTTATTGAGAATTCTCTCTTGAGAATTATTCTCAAGATTCTAAACATGGCTGAAAAACAAACCGTACTACCCTGAGTAGCCAATCTAGTTTGGAAGGCTGGTTCCTGTACTTGTGTACCATACAATCATCAGGTCAGTTTCTCTCGATCTGAATACTATTACGGATTAACTCTTTAGAATTTATTTATTTATTTATTGGACTTATTGAGAATTCTCTCTTGAGAATTATTCTCAAGATTCTAAACATGGCTGAAAAACAAACCGTACTACCCTGAGTAGCCAATCTAGTTTGGAAGGCTGGTTCCTGTACTTGTGTACCATACAATCATCAGGTCAGTTTCTCTCGATCTGAATACTATTACGGATTAACTCTTTAGAACACCTTTTCCTTACAGGAGGAATGAACTGCTCTTCAATACAACTCCAATCTGACCGCACCAAATATTCTCAAAACTACAAAGAGGAGCCTATGAGATTGCCCTGCACCACACCATGTGCAAACTACGCCAAAGGACCACGATGTGAAACCCACCCTACCTCTGGGGAAGAGGACCATGAACAGAGATGGGCAAGAAGCTGTGTTGCCGAACTGTGTGGCTTGTGCCCATCTCTAATCATGAATTAGAACTAGAGATGGGGGTATTCGTATATGAACACGAAGATCCCCGCACAGCTGGAGTTAATGAGGGTCCAGCCCCTGGGATTGGACTGTCCCTTCATGCGTCCGCCGCCAACCTCCCTCACCCTTCCAATCACTCCCGGAGCCCCCATCTCTTCCTGCTTGCTAACCAGTCCAGGCAGGGGGAGGGAGGACAAGTCTCCCCGGCACGGCTGCCGAGCAGGAAGAGATGGGGGGGGCCTCAGGGAGTGATTGGACGGGTGAGTGAGGCTGCTGCCACTGGAAGCGCGAGTAGATGAGGGTCCCCCTTGGGCTGGACCCTCGTTAACTCAAGCTGTGCAGAGATATTTGTATTCATATACGAATACCCCCTTCTCTAATTAGAACTTCTGTAAGTAGCATCGCTATCACAATATACTGCAAGGAAAGGCGTTACCACAGGAGGCCAGACTCACCTCTAACAGATATGCTGAAGTTCTGAGGCAGGTCCACAGAGATTCTGGTTTCTCCTCCCTGTACAGACTCTGCTCTTCTGAACTCATCTTCATCATAAATACTTGCCAAAGCAAGAAGCTCGTCTTCCTGAGCTTCTTTGTCCTCTGAAGACATTTAAAGTTCCTGTAAATATTAACATAATGTTAGGCACGCTACTATAATTGAATAATTTGCAAGAACACAGTTGGGCTTCAGCTTCCATCAGACCCAGTCAGGCTGATGATGAAATATTAAGAGAATGGTAGCTGACTGGAACAGCACTAGCACCCTAGCTTTTTATTAGAGGTCTGGTTGTATTGTATTGGGTTATGTTGTTTTTATTAGGTAATTTGCCATAGTCTCTGTGCTAAAGTGATAAAATGAACGCAATCAGATAGTCAATACATTTAAGGTAACAAACAGCACCAACCTTCAGGTTTAAGTTTTCCCCCTTTCCCCCTTCTTTCTTCAATACAGCTGGGAAGTATTCAAAAGCATTTACTTGTCTGGAATTAACTGCAGTTAAGAATTATATTCAACTCTGACAAACTACAGTTGTTTTAACAATGGCTAGCTGAAACAATCCCATTTGCCTGATATCTAGTGTAGGCATCCTTCAGTCTCGAGAGACTATGGTAACATGCTCAGAATAGAGGTCTTGGAACACCGTCTAGTGTGGCTGAGAAGGCCAATTTCAGAGTGACAATCCCTTCCACACTGAGGACAAATACAGTCTGTCCCCTGTCCAGCTCCCTGATTTTGCTGGTTTCGGGACTGCCTCTTTACTTCAGCCTGTTGGACAAGTGTCTCTTCAATTTGGAAGAGGCCATGCCGCACCGCCTGCCTCCAGGCTGAACACTCAGATGTCAAGGTTTCCCATCTGTTGAGGTCCATCCCTAAGGCCTTCAGATCCTGTTTGCAGATATCCTTGAGCTGCAGTCTCCCTCTGGGGCGCTTTCCCTGCACTAATTCTCCATACAGGAGATCTTTTGGAATCCGACCGTCATCCATTCTCACGACATGCCAAGCCAGCACAGACATCACTGTTTCAGTAACGTATACATGCTAAAAATTCCAGCTCATTCTAGGACTACTCTAGCTGGAACTTTGTCCTGCCAGGTGATACCCAAAATGTGTCAGAGACAGCACATATGGAACGTGTTCAACTTCCTCTCCTGCAATGCATAAAGGATCCAGGACTCACTGCAGTGCAGGAGTGCACTCAAGACACAGGCTCTATAGACCTATATATGCCGTAAGCTTCTTATTAAGCCATATTCTCTTTGTGAGTCTAGAGAAAATGGTAGCTGCTTTGCCAGCTCAACATCTAGAGAGAGTGTGTCAGAGATTGTTGAGCCAAGGTACACGAAATCATGAACAACCTCCAGTTCTTGTGTAGAGATGATAATAGAGGGAGGTGATTCCACGCCCTAGCCCAGTGTTTTCTTCAGACTGATTGTTAATCCAAAATCTTGCAAGGCCTTACTAAAATGATTCATAAGTTGTTGGATCTCTTCAGCAAAATAGGCAACAACAGCTGCATCATCAACAAAGAGGTAGTCCCGCATGCATTTCTTTTGGACTTTGGTCTTTGCTCTCAAACTAGAGAAATTAAAGAGCTTTCCATCTGATCTAGTCCGGAGATAGACACCTTCTGCTGCAGTTCCAAAGGCGTGCTTCAGCATGACAGTAAACAAGATCCCAAACAGAGTCGGCGTGAGGACACAGCCCTGTTTCACTCCGCTTCAGATATCAAAGGGATCTGATGTTGAGCCATCAAAAACTACAGTGCCCTTCATTTCCTTAAAGAGTAGAGGTGGACATCCAATCTTGCAAAGTATTTTATAAACGCCGCCCCTGCTAACCAAATCAAAGGCCTTTGTAAGATCTATGAAGGCCAGAAAGAGGGGCTGTCATTGTTCCCTACATTTCTCCTGCAACTGTCTGAGGGAAAATACCATGTCAACGGTGGATCTATTAAGTAGCTCAAAATCCACACTGTGATTCTGGATAGATTCTGTCTGCAAGCACCTGGAGCCTCTTCAGCACAACATGGGCATGCTGAGAAGACAGATGCTATGGTAGTTATTGCTGTCAGCCCGTCTCCTTTGTTCTTATACAATGTAATGATGTTTGCATCCTTCATGTCCTGTGGCACTCCACCTTCCCTCCAGCAAAGACAAAAGATTTCATACAGCCCGGTGGTGATGGTCTCTTTTACAGCACTTCAACAGGGATGTTATCCTTTCCAGGTGCCTTGCTGGAGGTGAGGGAATCCAAGGCCGCTTTTATTTCTGCCAAAGTTGGTTCGCTGTCCAACTTTTACAAGACAGGCAGGCACGCAATGTTATTTAATGCCTCTTCAGTTACTGCATTCTCTCTAGAACAGTGGTCCCCATCCTTCACCATCACCTCTGCTGGCCAGGATTTCTGGGAGTTGAAGTCGAAGAACATCTGGAGGCCCAAGGTTGGGGACCACTGCTCTAGAATATAGCTCAGAGTAGTGCTACACCCAGCATTCTATCTCCTGTGCTCAGTCCTGGATGATCACACATGTAGCAATCTTCAAAGGAGCAGATTTCTTCTGTATTGGACCTAAAGCCTGCTTGATACTATCATTCCCTTGATGTTACCTATGTATGCTGCTGTCTGTATCTGAGAGCAGAACTGAAGCCAATAATCGTTAGAACATCTCCTGGCAATCTGTTGGACTTTGCTACAAGCAACTCGAAGAACCTGCAAGTTGTACTCACTAGGAAAGGCTTTGTATGCTGCTAGAGTTCACCTCTTTTCCTCGATGGCTAGCATCAACTCCTCCAAATGGGCTTCAAGCCAGTCTGCCATCTTTTTGGTTGTCTTGCCAAATGTGGACAAGGTACTGTTATAAACAGCGTTCTTGAAATGTTCCCGTCATTCGGGTGCATTTGTACCAGCTGGGCCTGGAAGAGTTTCCTCAAGCGCTTGGGCAAATTCATCCACTTTTCTCTCATCGCGAGTCTTACTGATGTCAATATGTGGTGTTCCTTCCCTTTTTGTGTGATACAGTCTCTTTATTCGCAGTTTGACTCTGCTACACACCAAGGAGTGACCAGTATCGCAATCAGCACCCTGGTAACTGCATGTGATCATAATACTAGGAAGGCTAGAGTGTCTAGTGAGGATCAAATTGAGCTGATGCCAATGCCAAGTCTCCAAGAAACTCAGTGTTGAAGCTTCATATTAAAAAACATGTTGCTGACACAAAGATCAGAATAACAGCAAAACTCCAGCAAGTGTTGGCCATTTTCATTCATCTTCCCAATGCCAAAACAGTCTAGACAATACACACACACACACACACACACACACACACACACACACATATATACACACACACACACACACACATACATACATACATACATACATATATACATACATCTATCTATCTATCTATCTATCTATCTAGCTAGCTATCTAGCTATCTATACACACACATACACACACACCCCGACCGATATAAGCAGCACTCTTTGCTTTTTTGCTTTATAAATACTAAAAATAAAAAACGACAAAGAACTTGGGAAGTGACCTAAGTGGGACGTTGTCTAACTCCTTTTTCCAACCACGCCAGAAAGGGAAGCCAGCTAGCAGGGCTGACCGTAACTGACCACTGCTCTCTGACCAACACGGCGTCAGGACTGAACATTGTACTGAACCTGACTATACCCAGCATAGCGACAACAAGCCACCACACCACTTCCTTACTCTCTGCTGTAAAATTATTCCACAAAGTTGGAAGCCTTTTACAATACAGCATGGTATAGCGCAAGGATGGTTGATTATACATTTCCACCTGCTGGATCATATTCTCTCTCTCCTCCTTTCACCCCCATTTATAAAACAATCTCAAACGAGAGAGAGAAAAAGGTGGTCTGTCTTCTGGGAACATTACGGTTTTGCCTCCTTCGGCACCTGTTACCTGGGAAAACTTCTGATTGTCCTGCAACTGATCTTACGACTTTGCGACCAGTTTGCTCAAGGAAAAATGCGGGTTTCCTGCCAGTGCCGCACCCGTCAGCGTTTATTCTCGTGAGGCCTGAGAACAGCCGCAGACAGAGAGGTGAGCAGGAGGGGGAAAACCTGCAGCTCCTTCCGGACAGAACTGTCCTTCCCCGGCCACCGACCTCGGGGCACGAGCGGGGCACAGGGGCCATTCCCGGAAGGGAGGCAAGGCTCGGCCCGGCAGCAACAGCCAGGGAGAGGCGACGGGGCGAGAGAGCCCAGCGCCTCTCCCCCGACATTCAAGGGCGGCCCGTCAAGCACCCGACCTTCCCGCCCGCCGCCAGCAGTGGCGCCTTCCTCCCCTCCCGGCTTCCCTTCAGCGGAGCCCCCGCACGGCGCGTCTCACCCTTGGCCGGGGGCGCCCGGGCTCCGCTCGGTCCCTGCGCTCCCGCTACCCCGAGGGAGTCGTCCAGCTCGGGCGCCGCCTCTCCGGCTTCTGCCCCCCGCTAACCCTGGCCCAGCCCCGGCCGCCCTTTCCGCCACAACCCGCCTTCTCTCCCTCCCTCCCTCCCTCGCCTGCCCGCGGTCCCCAAAAGCGGCGCGAACCCCCACTCCACACACCCACACCCATACCCACACAAACGAACGCACCCCTTCCCTCCCTCGGGTATTCCGGCTTCGTGCTCGGCGTCCAACCGGGCGTGACAACGCGGCGGGGAAAGGGCAGCAGGAGCGGCAGGAAGAGAGGCCGGCGCGGCCTCGGGCTTCCGGTTTGCCTGGGAAACTTCATTTTGCACCGAGAGAGGAGGAGGAGGAGGAGGAGGAGGAGGAAGTAAGGGCGTTTCTTGGCCTGCGCCCTGAAGCCCGCTGGGTTGCGTTCACGGGCAAGGGAGCCGAACCCGGGCGACGGTCCCCCGTTGAGGAAATCAGCGGCTCCCACAGCTCCTATCCCTTTCCAAGGAAGTATCCCTGGCTTTCTATCTCGGCATGTGAGCAAAAGAAAAGGGAGGCGGGGAAAGAGGCCAAAAATGATGTTTCGTTCCCACGCCACTGCCAATATATGTCCCTGTACGAGGGGGTGCTGATAAGTATTGAGCCTTTCCCAGAAAAAAATTGAGCTAGGAAGCTGCAACCGCCACACTATTCTACATATTCCCCCAGGAAGTCAATGCACTTGGGACATCTGTCCTGCAGCTTCTTAAGTCTCTGCAAATAAAATTCTTCCGACTGCTGGTGTAACCACTCATTTGCAGCATTAGTTGCCTCCAGAACACTCCCAAATCGTTGTCCCTTTAGGTGTTTTCTGAGTTTGGGGAACAGATAATAGTCAGAAGGAGCCAAGTCAGGAGAATAGGGCGGATGGGGCATCACTTGAAAGCCTGAGGACGTCAGCTTTGCCATTGTTTCACCTGCAGTGTGTGATGAGGCGTTGTCATGCAACAGGATGACACCTTTGGAGAGCTGTCCTTGACATATTTCCTTGATGTTTTGCCTCAACTTTGTCAATAAAGCACAGTAATATTTTGCACTGATGGTTGAACCTTGCTGGAGGTAGTCCACCAGCAGAACTCCCTTCTTATCCCCCCACCCCAATTGACATTTTCTTCTGCACCGACCTTTGTACTCGGAACTTCTTTGGCCTGGGGGGAACCACTGTGCCTCCATTCTTTAGACTGTTTTTTTGTTTTCTGGGAAAGGCTCAATGCTTATCAGCACCCCCTTCTATGTAGTGGCCTCCCTTGATAATCTCTGATCTCAGCCTTGGAAACAACTCGAATCATTGATGGGAAAACCTCAACTACTCAATCATCCGGGCCAATTAACACTTTTGATAATTGCATTCCTGGATTGAGGAACCATTCTGTCTATTACGGTATTTGTATCCTCACATGGTCATGTATCTCACTACCCTGACATAAATCAAGGTAGCATGTATTTGCACTCCTGGGTCTAACAGAGTGGGGTTTGATCCGCGAATCATTGATGGGAAAACCTCAACTACTCAATCATCCGGGCCAATTAACACTTTTGATAATTGCATTCCTGGATTGAGGAACCATTCTGTCTATTACGGTATTTGTATCCTCACATGGTCATGTATCTCACTACCCTGACATAAATCAAGGTAGCATGTATTTGCACTCCTGGGTCTAACAGAGTGGGGTTTGATCCGCAAAAGCTCTAAGTTCTCAAGTCAAGACCCCACCGTATCCTCACCTGGTCATGTATCTCACTACCCACAAAAGCTCGTACTGAAATCTGTTAATCTTAAAATTTCTGCAATATTTTGGCTTTTTCTCTTTTCTCCTTTTACTTTTGCCAATATTCTATTGATGTACAGTACATGTATGACAGGGTCTCACTCACCCATCTCAAAACAGGGACAGTGGCCAGTTTATCCTAATACTGTATGGGAAATTGTTGCCAAACCAACCGAACAACCCTTCCCCAATTCCCACCTTTCTCTACTGTAGAAGCCTACCAAGGTTTCAACTATGATGGCTGCAGTTGTGTTGTGTGCTATCAAGTCGCTTCTAACTTACAACCGTATGAATCAGCAGTCTTCTGGTTGCTTTGCTACAGTCTCCATTTACTGTATGGGAAATTGTTGCCAAACCAACCGAACAACCCTTCCCCAATTCCCACCTTTCTCTACTGTAGAAGCCTACCAAGGTTTCAACTATGATGGCTGCAGTTGTGTTGTGTGCTATCAAGTCGCTTCTAACTTAGGACAACTGTCTTCTGGTTGCTTTGCTGCAGTCTCCATTTAGACTGATGATTGAACCAAAGTATACAAAATCGATTAACTATTTTAAGTTCTTCATTGTCACTGGTAAAGTTGTGCAGTTCTTCTGTAGTAATGATTTTTGTTTTCTTCACATTCAACTGCAATCCTGCTTTGACAGGTTTTTCTTTTACCTCCCCTTGCAGTCAGGTAAAGTCATCACTGCTTTCTGCATTAAGATGTTGTCACCAGCATATCTTAAATTATTGATATTTCTTCATCCAATTTTCACCGGTTGTCACCAGCATATCTTAAATTATTGATGGTTTCTTCATCCAATTTTCACTCCTCCATCGGAATGTAGTCTGGCTTTCTGTATATGTTCTGGGTACAGATTTAACAGATAAAAGAGATAACATGCACCCTTGTCTGACATCTTTGCCTATAAGAAATCATTGTCACTTCATAATCTGGCCTAATAGTAGCTTCTTGTCAAACAGGTTATGCATCAGGAGAGTCAAGTGCAGAAGCATACCCATTTCTTACAGAACAACCCAAACTTTTTCATGCTCTCCAGTCAAAGGTTTTGCTGTAGTCTATAAAAGATAGTCTGATTTTCTTCTGAAATTCTTTGGTGCTTTCCAGTAGCCAGCAGATATTTGCAATATGATCTCAAGTGCTTCCTCTTTTTCAAAATCCAGCTTGAACACCAGGCATTCCCCACTCCATATAAGGTCAAATTTTTTTCAGCCCCCTTGATCATCACTTTGTTTGCATGAAAAATAAAAGTAGTGCTTCTGGTGATGGCTGCAGTTGATATGAGTAAATGAAAATGAAATCTCTGAATTTAGGTTTAGTGCCAGGAAAGCACAGACGACAATAGATTTTAATTATTATTTATTGAATGTCTTAGCCAATAAAGCATCCCCTTCAGCCGATGCTGTGTGGTGCACTGCCAAAGCCGAACACTAACATAGGTTCTGAACCTTAAGTAGTCATAAAGAAAGTACAGAAATGGATGTGAAGGAGGTGGCAAGGGCTCCAAAGATAGATAAAGCTTCATATACAGTGGACCCTCAATGCACGCACAGCTTGACATGAGTACTTTTCGAGGTATAGACTTCTCCGGCTGCAAAGTTTCCAATCAACTTGCGGCTGGAGAATCAACCTACAGACCGGAAGGGGGAGGTGGGGAAAGTGCCAAATTCAAATTTGGCACTTTCCCTGCCTCCCCCTTCCAGTCCGTAGGCTGCCATCCCTCTGGATGCCTTCCAGGGCTTCTCTGCCACCATGGGAGGCCTCTTGGAGGTCCCCCCCACTGCCGATGATGCTTTGGAGGTTCAATCGGCGGCGGGGGACCTCTGAGAGGCATCCCATGGTGGTGGGAAAGGCCTGCAGAGGTCCCCCTCACCACCAATCGTGCTTCGGAGGGTCGATCGGTGGTGACGGGGGTCTTCGGAGGCCTTCCCCACCACCATGGGCGGCTTTTGGAGG